CAAACATTTATCTAGTGCCCCCTAATGGCCATGTCCAGTGCTAGAGGCTGAAGGAATGAAATGAAAAATTAAGATCCTTTCCTACCCGAGTGTAGAATTCGGTGAGCAAGGTGTAAAAAGTGGCACACGTGAACAGATTCCTGGTTTAAATAGGTACTGTCGAAAGGGAAGTGGGTGAAAGAATTCCGCAGGGAAAGGGGCACCTACAATTTAACTATTTGCCTTCGGACTGGGGGAGAGTTTGGATTTGATGTGGGCTGAACCTGAAAGGGGTGCTGTGCTAATCACTTGCCTGTGTTCTCTAGAGTCCATTCCCCACTCCTCCCTGCTCTGCTTGGTAATTCAGGAAACCGTATTTCCCAGGGTCCAGTCAGTGCCCACTGGCTCGTGGATGGGCTTGGCTGGTAGGAAGCTTCAGCTGAAGATGGGAGGGCCAGAGCAAGGGCGACAGCAAGCTCCCTCTCTCCATCTCCTTTACTTGGGCAGTGTGGCTGGCTAAGGTGGTGGCTCCTCTGTGGTTCCAGAAAGCGCCAGCCACGTCCTCCACGGTTTCAGTGTCAAGGGGCTGGTGCTGGTCCTGGGCTGTGGGAATCCCTGTGTCCTTCTAGGCCAGGGAAGGTAGAGGCTCCCTACTGAGGCTCATCGTGGCATTGCATCACCTCCCTCCATTTGGCATCTTGGCTCTTCAGTTACTCAAGCAAAAATTCCCTGTGTTAAATCTCCTCTGTTTTAAATCTCCAGGGATGGCTTTTGTTTGATTGCCTGCGCCCTCGGTGAACAGGAGATCAACTCCCGAGGGGGAAGAACAGCACAGGCTCTGGTCTGGAAAAGAATGAAGGGTCAGGTGGAAGATTTAGCCTGTGGGAAAGGAGAGGGTCAAGGCCACCTAAAAACAGGGATTCTCAGACATGCGGAGACTATGCTGTTGAGGCAACGCCATTCGGCGCCTGGTGGGTCTCTGGAAGGCTGAGGAAGGCTCTCTTTCTATACAAATACAAGGGCAAAATGTTGCCCAAGAAGAGATGTTACCTACGTAGGCAAGCCACAAGGCTGGAGGATTTTGGATCCAGTGCACCTCTTTGTTTTCCATCGAGTTTAAATCAGCTGGACGGGGCTCTCGGGAATGACTCACCCACGCAGGATACCAAAGCTAGAAGTTGTCTTCTTCCTTCAGATTATATGCATGAGGACACTGAAGCTTTGGTATGGGAAAGTGCTTTGCTCAAGGTCACACAGTTGGCATCGCTGGAAGAACTCCACTCGCCTAATTTCAGGGTCAAAGCCTTTTTCATGCTGTCCTTGGAGCCTTTACCATGCCCCGAGTTTCAGCTCATTACATTACAAGCAGGTTTGCTCTTTCCATAACTACAAGATTCTGAACAAGTTTGAATGGGTCGGTCACATATTAATAATTTCTAATTTTGAATGAAACATAATAAGCATGTTACTCCACAATGACCAGTTTGGAGTGGTTTTTAAGTAGTTTAAATAAAGTCATTTAATAAAGCCACAGACATTATATAGTCAACGAAAATGCAGGTAGAATTCAGGTAGTAGAATATAGTCTCCTTTGTTAGCAGAAACAAAAAACAAGCAAGCAAACAAACAAAAATGAACCTTCGAGACTGCGGTACTTGCTATATCCTCACACCATTAGCCTTTATAAAATCCTACAGTTGTTATCACTTCTGTATGAAGACCGAACACCACGGTTTGGTTTGACATAAAATAAACTCCTTGAGGCCAAGACTTTAGAGACATTATCTGTTTAATAAATATGATTGTAAAAGCAATAAACAAGAGCAAGTATACATTACACTACATAGTATTTAACAAAAAAATACATCAAAAAAGTCATCTTAAAATTAGAAGTAGGTCCGATACTATAAGAAAACTTTCTCTCTTTTTTTTTTTTTTTTTTAATTGGCTTCCTAGAAAAATAAGTTGGCAAATGAGGGATTTCAATGCTCAGTTGGAATCCTGGAAAACAGAACAGCTGCCAAACACCCCATTGCTCTCAAAGTTGCTGTTTGGAACTTCTGAAAAAAACCAAAGCAAACCTCTGCATTTTGGATAGTGAATCCAATTAGGAATAAGGCAAAGGAGAAAATGTTGGTTGGGTAGTTCAGGGTAGAGCGCGCACAGTTTGCCTTCTGGGATTTTTGGAAAACGTTGTAATATCAGATTCTTAGCTTGCCCTGAATCTTCCCTTCCACATCCATCCCTCCCCACCCACTCCTCTGGCCTGAAGCCCACCAAACTCCTCACTGTGTTTGCACCTGCTGTTAGCGAGTGGGTAGGCACTTTGGTCCCTCCCATTTGTAGGCTGTCATTACTACTTTCTCTTTGGGATTGAGCTGGAGTGGCAGGGTGTGGTTCCCGAAGTTCTGTGTACAGTACAATAACCTGAAAAGCTGGTAAAAATTGACTGCTGGGCCCTAACCCCTGTAGTTTCTGGTTCAGTAGGTCTGCAGTAGGGGGACCCTAAATTCTAGTAAGTCTGAGGTTATGCTGATACTGCTCAGTCCAGGTACCACACTTTGAGAACCACAGCACTAGAGCATAAGAACAATGAGGGCCCCCTCTGAGCGGTACCTTGCCTGACTCATGTCCTGCAGGTGGGGGGGAGCTTCGAGGAGAGGCACATGAGGATCCTGGAGATGCTGAATAGAGAGCCGGCCATCTGTGATCACTTTCCAAAATGCCAGGCATCTCATGTTTACCTCTATTTTTAATTAGGACTTACGCACCCATTTTTCCTTACATTTTCTCACATATTCTTCCACTTATCCCTTCAACAAAGTAATCTTCTTAATACCCGCTCTAGGCAAGGCACTGTGCAAGATTAAGAGGGTGATTCCCTTTTTCATAATTTTCCAATTAAAATTGATTGAACTGCAACTCTGAGGACTCCCTGTGCTGTTTTGAGTGAGCCTCTTTTGGTTTCCAAACATTTTGTCTTCCAGATTAAACTTGGAAGGCTCCAACTGAAGTGGATCGATGAGGATGTTTCCTATGGGATAGGAAGCCTGGCAGGTTGGGGATCAATTGAGTTCTACAAGCAGATGGCTGCCTCAGGCATAATCCATTTCCCAGATTCATCCGGGGCATCCTCAACCACAAAAACTTCTGTCTGATTCACTTCTGACTGCAGCTTTGCTACTCTTCGCCTGCCTGAGCTACATAGGGCAGGGATGGCCGGGATCTTTGGGACATCCCCAGGATCACCAGGACCCTCTTATCGACTGTGACTGGCCTGGGAACATGGCCAAGCAGGAGGCTGCTTTCTCTGAATGGCTTTCAAAACTGCTTTCTCCTGTATTTTAGAGTGGGCTTTGCCTAATTCATAATCCTCCAAGGGCTTCTGCTGAACACATTTTTGTTTCCTTCCTTCTCTGGACCTTCTTTCATCATTGCCCTGGGCAAATGAGGATTGTTCATGCTCTGAGCCAATCTGCTTTAGACATCTACCTCCTCCCATGTAAGTTTAGTAATTTTTCCTTTGCCAATACTAGGATACTCAGAGATCAGAGAGCATACCTGGGAGATGTCAGGGACCATCCCACATCATCAAAATCTTATCCTAATGTAAGACAAGACCTCCATATAGTCTCAGACTTTTTGACACTCTTAAATATTAAATCCATTAACCTGTTTCTTCTTCTGGTTAAAATCAGTTTTATTTTACAAGTATTTTTACTGTATTGTGCGAGAACAAATACTGGGTAATAGCAACCATTACAGAAGGAAATTGCCCTGCCACATAGTAACACGTTCGAAACATTTCTCACAAGAATATTCTGGAATCTGCACACGAGATTTTTGTTAAGGTGTGAGAATACCACTATTCATCTGTATGCTTTCTTTTCCAGTGTACATGGCCAGGTTTGAATTGCTTTGCATACATCAACTCTTTCACATACTCTGCGTGTTTCCAGGTGGGAAAAGGCAAAGCTATTCGGAAGAGGCAGGTTCTATAGGAGGGGACAAAGGATACACGGAGCCGAACCCTGCAGGGCAGGATGCAGCTGGGTCAGTGTGTAGGGAAGTTGGCATGCTGACAGATCAGAAATGTGTGGGTGGTGGGGGGCAAGGCCAGCAGAGACCAGGCCAGTATTTAGGGAACACTGAAGTTAATGTCTAGAATCCAGTGACATGTTTGGAAGGAAAAAGTAGGAGTTGAAAGACAACTTGGAGACTGGAAGGAAGAGGTACAAAGACATCAACAGATCATGACCACACATGGATAGCAAACAAACGGGGAGGCCAGACAATGGGGAGCTGGGATTCTCTCTTCTACGTAAGTTGGGGGGCAGGAGTAGAAAAGCTACGAGGGAAAGCCTTGGCGACGGGAAGAACTGAACAGGAAACAGAGATCCACTTCGGACATGCTTGCCCCACTGCCTGCCTTCCCTAGTCTGCCTGCGTATGTGGAACTTCACCTCGCTCCTTCGTCCCTGTGGCTGCACAGAATGCAAGAACGCAAGCAGTCTCGTGGCCACGGCTGGCCACCGAAGCTACCAGAGATAACTTAGAAAAGAAACAGGGACAGAGAAACAGCTCAGGGTTTCACACTCCTGTGCATGTCTTTGTGTCTTATGAAAGGCGCTGGGGTGGCTAATCCCCCCCATCAGCCTCTAGTGCTAAAATAGCTGTTAAGTCGAGAGCCAAGAATATTTCCAAAAACACATGCAGATTTCCTTGGCCTCTATATGTTATGAATTTTCTACAAACACGACCGATCAGAAAAAAGAGAGAGAAGAGGAAAGGGGGAGGGGAGTGTTTTTCCATTAAAATAGAGCACCTGTACACTGCCCCTCCACGCATGTTCTCAAGGTACTGTCCACATGCACAGGCTTAAAGCTAAAAACCCTTGTTGTCTGTGTCTGAAGAATTAAAAAGTCCCGATGCAGTGAGTGTTTGTTTGTTTGTTTGTTTGGATTTTGATAGTTTTTTATTTTATTTGTTTGTTTGTTTTTGTTTTTACTGGCGTCCTCCATTCAAACATTTACATAGGTAGGGATTTCTTTTGTGCTTTGATTCTCAGCAACTATGGAAATACTTCCTGGCAAAATAGGAAACAGAACAACAAAGGAAAGAAAAAAAAAAACAAAAACATCAAGTTAGTGGTCATGAAGGATGGTGCACTTGACAAGAGCGAAATTCTTTCCTGATCAGCAGGTCGCCTGTAGCCTTTGGGGGTTTTCCTTAAATTGCAAATTGTGCCCCAGCAGATCCCCGCTTTGGCGTTGAAGGTGGAGTGGCGTGTCTTGCTCTTTGCAATCGGAGAGATGAGTCACCAGGTTGAGTAGAAGGGGAGGGAGGGGAGGGTAAAGCTACTCTCCTAAGAGAAAACGTGTAACACTTACTCATTTAATGACACTGACAACGGAAAGGTGTCAGAGACTGTGCAATGTGCTGCCGGATGCTCTTGGTGAAGGAGGGATTGCTACTTTAATAAAGTCAACAGCGCTGTGCTTCATACCCCGTGGAAATGGGATTGAAAATCAAATGACCCACAAAAATTCACTTAGAAGCTTTAGAAGTAAATAGGGTGAACGCTTCTCTGGACTTGAAGACAGAAAAGCCTTTTTCTTTTGAACCTAAAGCAATTACACATTTATCACCCTGTCTCCCCAAATAAAAGCCAGCATGCTGTGAACATTGGACCCCAGATGGGGCTCCAGCTGGTATTATTACGTCCAAGACAAGCCAGGCCCTGCACTGAAATCTCACCCAGTACCATCACAGAACTCTTCCACATCCGCTTAAAGAGAGGCTTTTGTTTCCATTTAGGTGCTCCTTTCCCTTTCTAAGTAACAGATTAAAAATCTTAGGTAGCGGCCTTCTAGAAGGTTTGGTATTCTGACATTAGAGTGAGGCACGGATGGTTATCTAGTAATGTTTCCGTTTCGGTCAGCAATGTAGGATTTGAGGTGGCAACACTACAGCTTCAAGTCCCGACACCAACAGACAGGAGGAAACAAGGCCAGCCATGGATCACAATGGTAGCTCCACGGGTTTGTCTAACTCCCTGGAAATTTTCCTCCGCCATAGAGAGTAGGACTTAGCAATTACTCCTGAGACTCTAGACCTAGTGGTTGGATTCCCAGCGTACTTTGCAGGCAGGAAGAGAGAGAGCTCTACTGATATATGGTAAGGTCCACTGTAAGACTTCTGGTAGGGGGCAGGTAAAGAGGAGGAAGAAATCTGCCCATCTGCTCTGTAACAGGCTAACCCTCCAGGGGTCTCTCTCAGGAAACCTCACTCCTGGGATGTTCTGCAAACGTTCTGCCTCTTGTCCTCAAAATTCTCAGGTTCCATGTTTCCTCGGGGGTGGGGGGTGGGGGCCAGTTTTAAGATTCCTGCTAATTAAAAAAAAATCCCAGGGCAATCAGCTTGGCCCTCCTCTATTCTGTCTCATGACGTCACTTCTCTATAAGCATTCTGGAGCAATTTGCCCTCCAAGGAGTTGTCTTGAGGCCAGGCGGCCCTGTCCTACCCTGTCATTCCCTATGCTGCCCGGCCCTCCACATCACCAGACCCAGACTCCAAGGCCTCCTTCTTGCACATTGTTAGAGCCAACACTCTGCTCTTTTGCGCATGAACATTTTGAAGCCCCGTATTTTAGAGCAAGAGATTTTGCAAAAGGAGGCATAAAGTCACAAGAGAGAAAAAAAAAACACTACATAGGAGCAAGAAGGCTTCCCCCCCGCCCCACTCATTCCAATGGAAGGAAGCAGGGAAAGAGACATCTTAGCCGTTTCTCTCAGGAATGTTAGAGCAGGAGAAAGTGGTTACGTCAAGCCAGAAAGGGGTTAGACAGAGTCAGCCGTTGACTACCAGGCTGAGCAGCTGATGGCTACTGGGAATCATTTACCTATGAGCTGGCATTCCACCTTCTCATCTATCAGTTGGCCAGGCCTCCTTAGTTCAGTCTGAGGGATATGGGCCCTGCTTTCAGTGTGACTGACCCGACTGACCATCTCTCGTTCTTTCTCATTCTGCATCTGGGCATAAACATTAATCCCCGGGATCTTCCTAAAACATTAACAGACAGCATCATTGCTATGCATGGGAGACATACATCACGGCAACACGTGCTTCCAAACCTGTCAGGGAGAAGGAAGGGAGAGGGGAGACGTGGACGGAGGGCCACATACCTTTTAAACTTGTAGATGACGAACACGGCCAGCCCTACAAACACCACTGAGAGCAGCATCAGCATGGCGGATCCACTGTGGGTTGGAGTGAGGTCCACCAGTGGGGCTAGGGGAGAACACAAGGCACGGTCATGGGCAGAGATGCGGGCATGTCTGACTCCATAAGATGCTGACGCTCTTCATTCACACAGAGGCATGGTGAGTCCCAGGAAACCACGGCGGGCCTACGCACAGATGCGTGTCACATGGGTGGCATGGGTGGGGGGCAACTGAGCCTGCCCCCACCCCCAGAACATTCCAGCTGGCTTATTTGGGAAGTGCAGTGGGGCCCTGGAGCCAGACTGCTCGGATTCCAGGCCTGCGCTAGCACGCACTGGCCCTGTGCGTGATTCTAGGCAAGTGATTTCACCTTAATGGGCTTACGTGGTGAGAGAATAATAGTGCATATCTCATCGGGTCTGTGTGAGGACCAGGTGAGTCCACGTACGTAAAGCACTGAAAACAGAGGGGGACACACAGGAAGTGTTCCTTAAGTATCAGCTGTGTTACTACTGTTGCTGCTATTCTATTTGATCAATATTTATCAGACTATAATTATTAATTTTTCCTATTCTTTGAGTGCAAGCTTTTCTCACACTAAGCAACGCACATCACCAGAAAAAGCAACAGGAATATTCTTATGAATGATCTGCCATCTCTCACTCCTGTCCCTGCAAGTGTCATGTGAGACAAAGGGTTGGAGGGTCATGGAGCACGCTTATCTTTTGGGCACACAGGAAACTGACAGCTAAGTGAGTATTTTATAAGAGCAGCCTCTGTGGTGCAAGCAGAGGGGTGTGAGACCCGATGTTGTCTCGACATCGATGTCCCAAAGCCCTGAGAGCAGCTCGTGCCAGGAGACACCAGGATGCACGGAGTTCTCCTCTTTGCATCCATAACAAATCCTCCTCCCTGAGTTTATCCTTAGACTGCAGCTCTCGGGACCATCTCTCTCCACCTCCAAATCCCCCGACTCAAGGCTCCTTCTGCTCTGTCTGGTTACTGTCAGGTTACGTTCCAGCCACTCGATGCAACTGGAGAGCATGTTCCAGACACCAAATAGTTTTGCTGGGAAACAGGTCAAACCTTCTTTCTCAGAAAACAGGTTTAGTTGTTTTAGTAGAATCAGCTTTTAGGAACAGGGAAATTAAGCAACCCCTGTGATTCTCTCTCTCCTACATCAAGCAGCGCTTATGCCTTGCAGGGCCCGTGGGTGAGTCCGTGTGTGAGGAGGCCGCAGGAGACACCCAAGGCTCCCGTGCTTCCAGGTCAAAATGAGAAAAATAAAAGTGTCTTTCATTTACTTAGGCAAACACAGTGCCATTAGCAAAGGAGTCCAGAAAACCTTCAGAACTCACACTGCAATTGGTAGGATGTCACCAGGGAAGGGAACACCTTCCATTTTTCATAGACATTATCGTAACTGATTTCCACAAATGGAAGGCAGGGCTGTGACCTCCGCTGAAGAGATAAGAACAGTGAGGCTCTCACTGGCTAATGTCCTTCCAAAGGACTCGAAACTAGGAAGTGGAAGAACAAAGATTTGAACCTGAGTCCTACCACACACACACACGTGGAGCTAATTTCAATGGAAGATACCAGAAATTTAAAAACATATTTCTGAGAGTGGGGATTAGGGCTAAAACTACAGTTTTAGTGCGAGAAGCAAATTAAATATTATCAAGTCTTAGAAGGACCAGTTAGAATCATAAAGCATGCTGTCTTACACTTGGGTGACACGTGTGTGTACATACATATGCATATGTGTGTGTTTACACACATGGTACATGTGTGTAAAGAAATGTACCCAGCACCTCGCTTCAACAAACATCAACCTGCAGACAATATTGTTTTATTTTTATAAAACCAGTCCTCACAACCCCGACCGCTGGATTATTCTGAAGCAAATCTTAGCCATCATGTAATTCCATCTGTAACTCTAAAAGATAAGGTCCTTCTCTCTCTTGACAATTATCACAATACTGTTATCACACTCAAGGAAATAAAAATGGGAAGCTATTTTATAGGTCATCTCCTAATGCAAACCCTTAGTTTGACAGGGAACAAAGGCAGGTTCAGGGACGGGCCTCTCTGTTTAGGATGGTTAGAGGCAGGTTAACTTTATTAGCTAAACTTGTAATTCCTAGCTGCCTGCTCTGTCAGAATAAGCAGAGAGCAGTGCTATGGAGTAACCACGAGCGATACTAAGCCTGCTTGAAAGGGTTGGCATTTGAAATAAATGGAAAACTAAAGAGAGGAAATTGCTTTGGCCAGGCTCTTGCTAAAAGAGAAAGCAAACACACACACACACACACACACACACACACACACACACTCTCACACACACACACACACACACACACTCACACACACACACACACACACACACAATTTCCCTTCTCTTCCCTTCCTTGGCCTCTTTCTCCACATCACAAGTTTCTGCCATTCAATTCTAAATCATTCCTACTTGAAACATCATTCCTACACAAGGGCATTAGCACTGGTAAGTAATTAGCATAGTATTTTGGGAAAAGGAGCTTCTGTGTTCTGAGAGCTAAAGCGCGGCTCTCTGCTCCCCATCTCTGCACCGCTTAGTCTCAGAGGCGGGCCAGCCGGCCGAGCAGGTGGAGACCGGACGCCACTGCCCCGAGTGTTCCGCGGAGCTGCTTGCTGACCTGCCCTGAATGTAAGCGGACCGGTTACCGCTGCTCACAGCGGCCGCTGCCTTACCATCGTGTGCCCGACACTTAACGTGCGTTTGAGTGTATTCTGCTGAGGATGGAAACTTGTGATAAATGGGCTTTAGCTGGTTGTGTGGAATTAGCATAAATTAATCCCTCTCCAGTTGCAGCCTAAACGAGGTAGAAGCGTGAAGGAAAATGCTGAGCGGTTTATTTGTCCTGATCCACACAAAGTAAAGCATGGATAAGACCGTACTTTAGGTGACTCCTCTTTCTTTCTTCTTCTTTTTTTTTTGTTTAAGAGAGGGAGTGAGGGAGGGGTGGAGAGAGAGAATCTTAAGCAGGCTCCATGCCCAGCACAGAGCCAGATGTGGGGATCGATCCTTAGGACCCTGAGAGCATGACCTGAGCCGAAATCAAGAGTCGGACACGTAACTGACTGAGCCACCCAGGTGCCACTAACTTCACATTTCTAAGTGTGGGTGAGGGCACACACTGTTTCTGAAATCCTGGGAGGACTAAGAAATGCACTGAATTATTATGTTCTATTCATGAGGACCCAGGTTGATTATAACAACAGCAATGCTTACGGTAAGGACAACAGTCTTCCTGTGAAAAGTGACTGGAATATATAAATAAATGCTTACAGGCTGTGCACATGAGAGCAGTCTCAGAACTCCATGTCTGTGGTCAAGAAATTGATACAGCCCCCTTTGAGAATCAGATTCTGAGTCTGCCACTTGTGGGACTTAAGTGACTTAAACTGAACCTCAGGTTCATCATCTGCATAATGGAGGTAACACTAAATGATTGTTCTAGAAAGTTATGAGAATAAAACAAGATGGGATCTTTATAGCACTTGGCATAGTGTCCAGCACATAGGACATGCTCAGTATTTCTAACACTGTCATATCATTGCTATCATATTCTACAGAAAACAAGCCCCAAAAGATGACAAAAGGGTTCTATGGTTAGATAATTTTGGGAAATGGTATGTACAGTATTCCCCATCTTGGAGATTTGCAATGCTTATCAGTAACAGAGTTCACAGCAGTCCTTGGGCACCTGGGTGACTCAGTCGGCTGGGTGTCTGACTCTTAGTTTCAGCTCAGGTCATGATCTCAGGGTTGTGGGATCAAGCCCTGCCTTGGGCTCTGCACTGCGTATGGAGCCTGCTTGGGATTCTCTCTCTCCCTTTTCCACTGCTCTTCCCCTGCCTCTAAAATAAATAAATACATCTTAAAAAAAAAAAAAAAGTTCACAGCAGTCCTGCAGGAAAGAAATTCATTAAACTCTACCATAGTGTCTCCCAAACTCATATGGCCACAGCCCCTTTCCAGACCAAGGTCCCACACAACATGCTTGAGGAAAAGCTTTACCCTGCGTACCACTTTTCCCTTTGCTGCAGCCTTACCCCTTTGTTTGGTTTATTTCCAAGTTGTAAAGTCAACAATAAGGTGGCATCACCTGGTGCTCTTTGTATTCACTCTCATTCCAGCAAAAGGACTTTCTTGGAGAATTTCTACCTGCACTAGTACTCTGAAACCCTGAACTACATTTCTAATTCATTTCTACATTTCTAATCCAGAAGTTAGCGTGGTCAAGGAACTTACAAAAGCAAGTTTGCCAAATCTTGAATTTCTTTTTGACTCTACTGCCTCCAAAGCAGAACTATACTGGGCTTCAGTTACATGCCTGGAATATCACAAAATCCATGTGGTCTGAAATCTCTTTTCCAGAAATTAAAGTGATATGGGAATGGCACAAACAATTTATTTAGAAAACAGAAAGAGTGGGGTGCCTGAGTGGTTGAGTTGGTTAAGTGTCTGCCTTCAGCTCAGGTCATGATCTCCGGGTCCTGGGATGGAGCCCCGCATCAGGCTCCCTGCTCAGTGGGGAGTCTGCTTCTCTCTCCCTCTGGCCCTTCCCCAACCTCTCTGTCTCAAATAAATAAATAAATAGATAGATAAATAACATCTTAAACAAAAAAAATAAAAGAAAACTTTAGAAAGAGCAAAAGGTTTTCATTTACAAAGCACTCTTTCTTGGCCAACAGGCCTGTCAGTTCGAATCCAAACCCAATCATGACAGTCTTAAGGCCTGCCATACCCTGTTGGGATAAAGCCATGATCCAGCAGGACTAACAGCCAGACAGTGTGAGAACTCCAAGGAAGCTCTAATGACGAGTGAAGCAGTGCTGCTAGTTTTAAACTGAAGATGAGTCTTCAAGAACATCCAGTCATGGAGTTTAAGTCACTTGGCCAAATAATGACAACTCTGGGTACCTCAAAGACCAAACTTATCACTGTAATTGACAGATAGGAAGAGAAAGATGCATTTTGATTTTCTAGGGTTGAAAGTCAACAAGACATCCTGCTTACTTTGG